GGGACCCCGAGCCGGCTCCACGGGTGTGCAGACCCGAGGGCCGAGCCTGAGACCCTGCATCGGCCAGTCCCGGGACGGAGCCTTTCATCAGCCTTCCCAGGTTCTCAAGGGGCCACCTGAGGGGCTGCAGCACTTCACCCAGACACGCCGCCCTGGCGCCCCACACCCCGCTGCTGGGTTTCGGCTCCTCTCTAGCCCGCCCCTGCCCTGAGCTTCCAGGCCCTTCTGCAGCGGCCATGCGTGAGTGGGAGCACCCCCATGTGGAGCCCCTTTCCGGAACTCTGCTAGATGTCTCAGCGGTTCGTCCCAACTCCACCTGAACGTCACTTGCCTGTGATGCACCCACGCCCACTCGGGATGACGTGTCCCCGGCAAAACCTTCTTTCTTGGGGGTTCTGTCCTGGGTCTTGGGACAGAGCCCTGAGGACTGCAGGCCCCAGGGAACCAGCAGGTGGCAGCTCTGTGGCCCTCCCCACCACCATATCCACCCCAACAGAACTTGGGTGACTTTTAGGGCCACCCCCGGGGGAAACCTGAGGCAGAGGGGTGGCGGACCCCAGCCTGGGTCTGAGGGGACACCTGGTCCGCACGTCTCTGGGCCACAGTGGCTGCTGGACACGGCCTCCAATGTGGGCCCTCAGGCAGACGGAGCTGCTTCAGGCTCCTGAGCAACGGGGGGCAGACGGCACCAAAGGAAACTGGGGGGACGCCAGCGGCAACCATGCACATGAAGGAGGCTCCACCTCACTGGGAACGCAGGACCCTCGTGAGGCCCGTCACGCGTCCCAGGCCGGCCAGGGCCCAGCACCTGCTGAGCACCAGGGAGACAGGGGCCCTCGCCTGCCCATGCTGGGCGTCAGGAGGGATGGCTTCCCTGCGGGGCCAAGGCGGGAAGGGACTGGGCAGACGCCGCGCACGGGGACAGCAAGTGTCGGAGTCGGGGGAGAGGGCAAGCCACATTCCCCCGGCGGAGCCTCAGCGTGCTGCCGGCGGGGGGCCCAGTAGAGGGCGGCCAGCTCTCCTGCACACACACGTGCGCTCACGCACACACACCATGGTCCTTCTGCACTTCAACCGTGGACGTGTTCCTATGGACCCAAGCAAAGTATGAACACAAATGCATTTGTACACGAGTCATGGTGCCCCCCCAAACCATGGTCACCCTGTGAGGTCCCTGGGACCACAGCCCTGTGTCTGCCAGGCCCAGGGTCCCCCGGGTCAAGGCCCTGATGCCACCCACACCCTTGCTGGTCCCAGGGAGGAGGTGTCCCAGGCCGTTCATGGCAGCACAGACCAGGGCTGTGGGCAATCCTGGCTGTCCAGGCGGCTCTCCAGCGAGGGGAGGAGTATGTGAACCCACGGGGCTCCGTGTGGCTACAAGCCACGGATCAGACGTACCTACCACGCACAGGCAACGGGACTCAACCAATGCCCCTGCACCCCACGGACACAGCCAGCCAGGCCCGGCTGTGGGACACCCTGGGGCCAAGGGCCCGGGCTTCACGAGATAAACGGTAAGAAGAGGCGGATGGAGCTACAGCCCGAAGAGAAGCGGCGCACTTTGAAGCTAAGAGTCAGGGGGCCAGTTCGGTGGTTCCCAGTAAGCCCGGCAGAGTCACCACGGGGCACAGGAACCCACTTGGCGAACACCAGACGAAGTGAACCATTCCAGGTTCACAGCAGCGCCACCAACAGATGAAGGGACAAGCACAGCTCAGTCCACCTGCACGGTGTTGTGTCACTCGGCCACAAGCAGGGGGGAAGCACTGACCCCCCACGACGAGCGTGGGCCTCGAGGCCACGATGAGTAGCCAGAGGAGCCAGGCACAAAGGGCCACGGAGTGTGCGCTTCCATTTACAAGAATGTGCAGCACTGACAAGTCCGTGGAGACCGAGAGAGGATCGGGGGCGCCAAGGGCGGGGGGGGGCGAGCGCCGACGGGTGCCGGTTCCTCTGGGGTGATGGGCACATTCGAACCGGACACGATGACTGTGCAGGCAGGTGTCCTCGAGGCCGCTAATGGTGAATCACAGGTTGTATTTACCAGCCCAAGAATGGTCTGAACTGTGACGGGAACGACTGACTACACTGGAGGCTCTAGGAGGCGTGGTTGGGCGGTGACCCCATTCAAACACACAGGCGGTGGTAACTGTGCAAGTCGGGACAGCCCTTATTTGGCGGGGGGCACATGGGGGTGCTTCCGGGGGCCACGGGGTGCTACTGACCCGGCTGGGGTCCCCTTGTGATCGCAGGAAGCCACACACTGCCTCTGAGTGGTTTTCTCTACCTGGCTTCTGGGGCGGACAGACTCAAACACACACACTCTATGCGACCCCCCCAAGGGTCAGGGCACAGTGGCCGTCTCGGCCATGACCGGGGTGCCGGTGCTGGCTGCGGGGAAGAGAGGGTGAAAGTCACCTAACAGTGAGAATGTATACGTTTCCCTCCAGGTCAGGTCTGGAAGCAGCAGGCTGCCCGGCAGGGTCCAACCCTCCCTCCAGGGTCCTGTCCCGGCGACTCCTCAGCCTGCACCCCCAGGAGAGCACCAGGAGTGTGCACGGAGCACGGGTAAGTTACCTAGGGCCCGGCCCCAGGGCAAGAGTACGTTGTGTGTAGATTCAGACTTCCCGTTTGCATAAACTAGAACAGAATGATTTATAGTTAAAATGATTTCAATTTTACAAAATAACCTAACCAATTAATACGTTGGTCTCACGTAAATGCTTGGCTTTTTAAACATCTCATTTCCAAATCCCTACGGGGTGACAATAAAGTGAAAATCATGAAAATAGGATTTTCACCTTCCCCCTTTTCACAGTTTCTTTGAAGAACCAGGTTGCCCATCCTGTGGATTCCCCACTTGTGTCACCGAGCGTGTCCTTCTGTCCCCAGCGTCTGTGAACTGGTCTTGGCTCTGTAGGTTTAACCCGATTCAGGTTCTTCCCTCTCCTTCTGGGCAAGATGCCCTCGCAGGCGGCGGTGTGTTCCTCTACCAGGAGCCACATGTCTGCTTGTTTCTGTTTTGTGGGGTCAGCACCGCGGGTTTTCACCACCTGGATCCCTTGACCCGGTCGGGGCTGCACGATGGAGGCCACCCTTCCTTCCTCATCTATTCTTTCTCTAAAGTCGCCCTCCTGGCCTCTGGACCACCCTCCTGGCAGGAGCGGGTCTGGGAGCACCTGGATGGGAAGGGCAGGGTCGGGGCGTGACTCCTGCCCTTCATTAATCCTTTTCCAAAGGACAAACGGGGTCCCCAGCACCCTCCAAAGTCCTCAGTGACGTACTTCCTCCGCCATCTGATGGCTCCGCCCCGTGGCAGCTCGCGCCCTCGTGACACCTCCTGACAGCCTGAGTGCTGGCCGGGGCCCGGCGTGGCACTGCCAACACAACACCCGTCCCTGGAAACGTGACGTCCAAGCTCCCACGCTGCACCTGCCCACGGGCGTGGTGGGACACAAATGGTGGGGAGAGCGCGTGGGGTGGGCGGGGGCTGCACAGGGAGGGGTGGAGACCATCCCGTCGGAGAGGGGAGCATTTGGCTCATCCTGACCCTGAGATGAAGCTAACTCCTGGTGACATTTTGCCTCCTGCTTTCTTTGCTCTGGGGACACGGGGCTGCTGGGGGGTTAGAATGTGGGGAGACCCACCCCTCCTTCTGCCCCATGCACACGGACACAGCCTGGTGTTTTCTAATAAAAGGTTGAGGGGCGCCTGGGTGGCTCAGTGGGTTTAGCGTCTGAGTCTTGTCAGCTCAGGTTGTGATCTCAGGGTCGTGGGATCGAGCCCTGGGTCAGGCTCCATGCTCAGCGGGGAGTCTGCTTGGGATTCCCTCTCCCTCTGCCCCTCCCCCGCTTCAGGCGCACACGCACACTCGCTCTAAAAAGGAAAAAAATTGTTGAGCTTTCTGGAGAGCAAACCATGGCACAAGTTATGTAAGGTGTGTTGTGGTTTGGGGACGTGGAGTTTCACAAAAACTGCCTTCCATTTTATGCTAGAGTCTGCAAGTGTCCATCTGATCACTGCTAGAGAGGGGACAACAATCCCCAGAAGGACGCTGAGAAATGCGTTACTATTTTCACCATCGCTGCAGCGGCCAAGGTACTTTTCCTGAGGGCTCCTGACGTAACTCTCGGTCTGCAGACCTCTGGGCGCACTCCTCAGACCTCAGTGCCTGTTCTGGACTGAACCGCGTGCCCCCCAAACTCACAGGTCCGAGTCCTGACCCCCAGCACTTCAGGATGCAACTGCACCCAGAGGTACAGGTGGTTCAGTTAAAACAGGGTCACAGGGTGGGTCTTAACCCGATCGGACCGGTGTCCCCATGAGCAGAGGGGATGAGGACACAGACACACAGAGGGACGAGCACATGAGGACGCGGGAGAAGACATGTCCACGCGCCCAGGCAAGGCCTCGAGAGGAGCCAGCCCTGCCCACAGCTGATCTCGGACCTCCCGCTCCAGCCCTGGGACAGAGCACGCTGCCGTGGTTTGAGCCTGGGTCTGCGCATTGGTTAAGACAGCCCGAGTGGACGGACAGCGCTCCTCCCCGCTGGCTGCCCCCGGCCGAGGACACTGCCCCAAGCAGCTGCTTGACTCGGCTCTGCCCCCTCCGGGATCTGTGAAAGGTGACCTCCCCAGACGGCCCCTCACCTGCCACAGCCAACCCCTCAACCCACTCTGCCTTCCCCAAACCCCAGCTCTTCCTCCACTGGAACGTGAGCTCCCAGACAATGGAGCCAGGCGCGTGGTGGGCCCTCTGCGGAGGCGCACACCGGGGCTCCATGCCAGGGACAGCCCACGGCACAGCGGCACAAAGCTCCTGTCCCGGGGCCCGCACACAGACGGCCTGCATCTGGGCTAATGCCCGGCCGTCGCCGGCTCAACATCCTTCATTTTAAAGAGAGGCCCCATACGTTAATTTTGCACAGGGCCCCACAAATCCTGCAGCCGGTCCTGCCTCTGGGACCCCCCCACCCCATTCCAGACATGGGCCCCACATACCTTGAACATCCTCACCAAGGTCTTACGCGCACTTCATGGCCAGTGATTGATTCCAAGGCGGGGTGGGGGGACCCAGTCCAAACAACGGGACCCAGCTTCGCGACAGGCCCAGCTCTGTGGCTCGTTGGTGCTCCAGAGCTCTGGGGGTGCCAGGCAGAACGTCCTGGCTACTCCTCGCTGCCCTCCCGCTGCCCTCCCACCTTCTGGGGGCAGCAGGACGAGAATCCCCGACTCAGGCTCTGCTTCCAAGCAGATGACTCACTGATGACTGCCCCAATTGGCTGCAGGCCAATGCCGGCGCCACATCCACCCTGGGCCGCAGGCTTCAGCCCCGGTTCACAGAGAGAGCGGGAGCCTCCCACGGCGACCCGAAACCTGGGCAGGGCCCCCTGGACGCCTCGCCCACACGTCACAGGTTCCAGTCCCGACTGGAAGCTGGCCTCCAGCTGACAGCAGCTCCAGGTTCCTCCCACACCAGCCCCTGCTCCTCCCTGCCAGGACTCCTTGGGAACCCTGAGGAATGCCAGCCTCCAGCTCCTTCAGAGACACACGCAGGTGCCTCGAGCACAGCAGAAAACCTGCAGGAGTCCTGGGGCTGGGGGCCTGTCAGCGCTGCACGGACAGCCAGGCATCAGCCCCACTTACGACTCCTCACCCTTGTCAGAAGTCTACCCCAAGTAAAGGGGAAGACGATGCTTCCTGCTTTGAAACCTCACGTCGGGGAGACTGGACGCACCGCCTGCCCCACCCAGGGTCTCCCGTTCATGTGCCGTGGGCCCGGGAGTTCTGTGGGAGGGACCGGGTGGCCAGCAGCAGGCCCCTCCAGACAGAGCGTCTCCGAGCCGGTGAGCGAGGGCGAGCGGAGCCCCAGCACGGCTGCTTGGTGAAGGGACAGGGGCCTGCCCAGCAGTGACCTCACCTGAGGCCTGCACCACCTCCAGATTTCCCCCGAGGCGAGGGCCACTGAATCCCGTCTCCTGTTTCAGCCAGCCTGAGTCTGGCTTCAGTTAGTCGAAGCATTCCAAATCAACATGTCGCTCCCGAAACCCAAGCACATCACCGATTCACATCAGGGCAGAACGTAGTACATAAATAATTACAAAAAGACAGCCTTGACCGTCCAGCAAGCTGCCACAGACACGGGGCTGGGAAGCGGAAGGTAGGGCTGCCTCGCCCCTCAGAAGCCTCCACACATGATACAAACTCAGGGACCCCCAAGGCCCAATCCACCCAACACTGAAACAGCCGAGTCTGCTTCCCGCCCAGGAAAGATCTGGAAGAGAGGATTCAGGACCATTCAGACTGGCACAAAGCAAAGGGGCTCTGAGAAAAGGCGTCAGGTCGGGGCTGTTCCCCTTGGGAACACGGGCTGAGAGAAGCAGGGGCCTGGCCCGGTGGGCAGGGGGCCCTCGGAAGCAGAGCTGTGGGTGTGCAGGGCTCAGGGCTCAGGCCTCAGCAGGGAGAATGGGCAGGGGGATGGTTTCTCCACATCTGGGTGACCCAGGGCCTTTAAGCAAGACAGGGCGTTCTGGGGGCCCCTGGGTGGCTCAGTCGTTAAGCATCTGCCTTCGGCTCAGGTCACGATGCCAGGGTCCTGAGATCGAGCCCCACAGTGGGCTCCCTGCTCAGCGGGAAGCCTATTCTCCCTCTCCCACTACCCCTGCTTGTGTTCCCTCTCTGTCAAATAAATAAACAAAAATCTTAAAAAAAAAAAAAAAGACAAGGCGTTCTGTTCTTCAACAGGAGGGCTGCCAAGAGCCATAATGACTGGATTGTCCTCCCTCTCAGGGTGCAAGGGCAGACACACCCCAGGGCAAGGCCCACGCCACTCAAGTGCCAAGAAGGAAATGGGGTCCTGGGGTGTGCCCAAGGGATTACCCAACCCGAGAAGTGCTGGCTCAGCCCCTGGGAGTGGTCTGGCCCTCCAGCATGGAAGGCAGGATTCACTCCCCAGAAAGGAGCCAGCCCAGGAACTAACCCACCACGGAAGAGACAGGACCAGCCACAGGCACTCAGTTACACGCTTGTCCCCCTGCCCCCCGGGTGGCCCAGGCACCACGTGTCAGGAGCTCCTAGGGCGCCCTGACACACTGAGGGCTGGTGACGCCGAGCTGAGTCAACCCTGTCCCTGGCCACAGGATGCTCTGCGGTGCAGGGTGAGGGCACACAGGGAAAGGCAGATGGTGGGGCGGGGCGACCAGGCTGTGCACAAGGTGGGGTGATGAGGTGACCCAGAACGCCCCCTCTCCACCCCCTGCCCCGTTGCCCAGCACAACCCCTGGACCCTGGCCAGGGAAATCCGCGGCACTGCCAAGCAAGGCGGAGTGCTTTGGGTGTCCAGGGAGTTTGGGGCCACTCTCTGGCTTAGTCAATCCTAACTGCCCCCCACCCCCGCAACATTCCAGTATTTTCGATCCCTTTCACTCTGGCAATCCTCCCAGAGCAGGAATTTTCCGGGGGCAGGAAAGGGACGGGGCCAAGCTCTGAAGTATAAGACTCAGGAGAGAGAAGGCCTGGACTTGGGGACTGTGGGGGCAGGATGCTTAGTCAGCCCCAGCATGTGTGGGCCTGTCCTAATCAGGCAGGCTAGAGTGCAGAGAAGAGGATGGAGGAATGGATGGGAGCCGAGTGGCCGTGGGCACCGGCCAGGAGCTGCGGACAACCAGCAAGAACAAGAGACCTCAGGCCCCCAGCTGCCAAGAACTGAACTCTGCCAGCCACCAGTGGGCTGGGACGGGGACCCCACACCTCACCTGTGACAGCAGCCCTGCCCTCACCTCAACTTCAGCACGTGAGACCCTGAGCAGGAGCCCGCAGGGCTGCGCCCTGGCGCCCGACCTCAGCACTGCGGTCCCAGCCCCCGAGTGTGCAAGACTGAATGAGCATTTACAGAGAAAAGCAGAGAGAAGAAGGGAGGAAAGAAACAAGAGGGAAGGGGGTGACCGCAGGGAGGGGCAGTGAGCCGGACTGCCGGGGACCCGCGGGGAGTGCAGGCCACTGCAAAGAACCGAATGTCGTTACTCAGAATCCCACGGTGCAGGTTCCTAAGTGCGGCGGGCGCACGCTCGGAAGAGAGGAGGTGTCCACAGTGCCCCCATAAGCAAGGCCCCGCAGGGGGCGAGAACCTAGCGCGGCCACCCAGGGCCCCGTCAAACTACACAAAGGAGCCGCGGCGTGCCCGCCTGCTGGGTGCGCTGGCTACGCACCGCTGACCCAGCCCTCGGGCTGACTCCCCTTTCTTCCCATGCTGTGTGGCCACCCATCAGGCTGCCCGGCTGTGCAAATAAGCGGCGGGGGCAGGGGTTGTGACCCACGGGCAAACCGTAAAGTCCGGAGGCCCTGCCGCCCCACCCCGGGAAAGGACAGGGGTAAGGCTGGTTCCCCACAGCTTTCTGCCTGGGGCTCTACCCACACTCCTGGGTTTCCAGAAATGGGGTGCTGGCAGCAGGGACACCCCGTGGAGCCAACGGAAATCACCGACCCCACCCACAGGCAGACGAGGTGGTTAGGGACCCACCCGAGGGGGGACCAGGGCACCTTTCCCTCGCCCACCTCAGACGGGAGGGCACTGGCTACGTCGGCAGGAGCACCCACCCCACCACCCCCAAACCTGGCTTCCAACAGGCCCTGGGGGCCACACCTCTCCTTTGCCTGCACATCAGCCTCCGACCCTATGAATCCAGAGACTTCCAAGAGGCAGGCAGGGCGGCAAGCCTTGGGGCCACAGGCGCCACAGATTTCCCCAGGCCCATCTGCCAAGTGTGTAGGGCTGCCTGCCCACCTTCACGCTCCGCCTTCGAGGTCTGCAGCGCCAGCCAAGAGGGCCCTGGGCAGGGATGCACATTCTTCCTGGGGCCTGCTTCCCAGCCATTGGCAGTGAAGAGTCTGCAGCCTCCAGGAGAGGGACGAGCGCGGGGTACAGAGCCTGGAGCTCTGCCAGTCACCCCTGGAGGGAGGGGCCTGGGCAGCCCAGAAAGGAAGCCCCCACATTGGCCTCACCTGTGGGGCCAGGCAGGCTGGAGGTGAGAAACCAGGCTCGAAGGACCCCGACCTGCGTCCAGCCTGGGGCCTGGAGGACAAAACAGGCTACTGGGCCAACTGGGCTGGGTGAGGATCCATGCAACCATCCCCATCGGACAGACTCAGAGCCCTGCTCACCCACCCGGGGCACAGGAGACAGTGCCAAGAAAAAGAACAAGATGGGGCTTTAGCCACTGGCCAGTGGGACAGCATTCCTGATGACCTGGCCGGGAGGGACTAGAGATGTAATCCAAGGACCAAGGGCGCCCCCAGAGGCAGCTGGTGGGACTGCACCCGCTCCCTGTGGCAGGTCCCAGGGCAATGGGAGCGGATGAGCGAGAGGACATGGGGGAGAAGCAGGGGAAGCAGACATCCCAAGGGGCCACCCAAGGAGGCTGGGCTGCCCTCCCTGGACCTCCACCCTGCCCTTCACCCACACAAGGATGGAGGGCTCCACGTAAACAAGGCCACTCCACAGAGGACACCGCCATGGGGGAGGACGCCGTGGAGAGAAGACACCATGGGGTTAACACGTGAGGAAACAGGTTACTTTACAGATAAGAATTGCCACGGTTCTTCAATCGTCTCTTCCGTAAAGGGCAGGTGGGTGATGAACAGGATGAGGACAAGTAAGTGGGTGGAGAGAGGTGAGATGACAGGACAGAGGACTGGGAGGTGGGGAAGTAGGGATGACAGGCAGATACACAGGTAAGTAGAGGCTCAAGAGGTGGACAGACGACGGAGACGTGAGTGTGACTTTGCATGCACGCCCACACGTCACGCCGCAGGAACAGAGCCATCTGCGCTGCAACCTCAGAGTGCACGCGTCCGGCTGACCGGCAGCTCAGAGCGAAGAAACTCCCCTCGGAGAGGGATGGGCCATGGCAGCCGCCGGCGTGCCGCGAGACTGGGCTTCGGAGGGGAGTCTCAGGGTGCCCGGGAACGGCTGCTGCAGGAAGACAAGGCACCGCTGGACACAGCTCCCTCCAGCCAAATCCGGCTCGGGAAAGAAAATCAGCCCAATTTACAAGCTAAGTGGCCCCTTTCAGTAGAGTCTCCAAGCCTGCCCACTGCTGAAGTCAGCTGGTTGGCGCGTTCTCTTCACAGTAGAAAGGTCATTTGGGGAAACGTTTCCAGCTGGGATTTAACTGGCCCTTACAGGCTAAGGACTGGGACCGGGAGCCTCAGTCCTTCCCACAGTGACAGGGCGGGCAGCATGTGGATGCCCCCTGGGGCCCTCCTCTTTCTTTGCAGGCTACGTGCCACAGGATGGGCCCCCGCCATCTGCCCCTCCAGCGCACCCAGCTGTCCATCAGCCACCATGGTCGGGGTTCTGCATCCTGCCGCCCATTTGGGGAACTTCTGGGCTGAGGATGAGGAGAGTCCTTTGCTGCCAGGCCCCTAGTGATTAAGAGGCTATTTTTATAAGGCAGTGTGTGAAAAGCCATCAATCAGAGAGCGTCCCAACCCGGGGCTGCTGGCAAGACTGTCCCCAAGTCCACCCTCTATCCCACTACCAGAGGGACAGGTGCAAAACCGCCCTGGCCGGTCACTCCCCTGCATGAACCTCCAGCAAACACCAGCCCCTCCTCACCTGCCGGCCCTCACCCCAACAAGACCCCCTCCCTTGCATCCCTGATGTCTCTTTGGCCTGGGCAAAAGCTGCCCCCTGCTTTGCCCCCTCAACCCCACCCAGGGCCTGACTCCCTCCTGGTCGTGGCTAAAATGGAAGGGGGTCAGAGGTCACAGTAGTGCTTGATGAGAAGCTAACTTAGAGGACCCCCAGGCAGACACAAGCCCTCTGGTAATTCAAGGCTGTGCTGTCCTTGACCCTCCTCAGCAAGCCAAGGACAAAGCTTGAACTCTGGTGACCCGGGGTTGGTAGCCGAGAGCCCATGGCCCAGGGGCAGTCTCTGGGCACCAGGACGGAAGCTGTGGTCCTATGTGTGCCAACACAGAGGCGGCACAGGGATCCCCAGATGCCCCCTACGTAACCACTGAACTCGAGCTCCTGTGCCCAGAAGAGACACTGAAGCAGAGCTGGAGTAACCACAAAACTGTAAATCACGTTTGCTACAGGAATTTGTTGTCACCTCGGACACAAGCCGTATTTGTTCTAGACCCTTTAGTTGTTCAAGGAAACGATCAATTAATCTATTAGCCTTGTGATCAGTCACCCACCACCACCCCACGGTGGGGGCTCCTACTGGTCCGAAAGCTTCACACAGGCTTTCTCCCCAAGTTAAAGGAAGCCCCCAGGATGGGGTTTCTTTTGGGGATGAGTGAAAATGTCCTAAATGGACTGTGGTGATGGACTCAGAGAACCCCTGAACCGCATACTCTAAATAGGCAAACTGAACAGCCTATAAAGCACATGTGTGTAAAGCTGTTTCAGAACAAAACAAGACAAAGGGACCCCAGAAGACCCTCACCCACACCAGCCCCTCCTGAGCCGGGCAGGGCTGTACCCTCCACATCAGCGTCCTGGGAGAAGCAGCTGGTCCCAGAGCTGAGGATTCTTGCCGTAACAAAGGTGACAGGTGGTGGGTGCTCCCCACCAAGAAGCCGGCCTGACGTCTCCCACTGGCCCAAATGGGACATGCAATTAAAACAAGTAACAGTAACGGATTATAACCTACTGGATAAAACAGGAAACAATGAGCCACCAACACAAGTCACTCAAGGAGTGAATGGAGAGTTTGATGAGAAACTGGGTACTGGGGCTCCGGAGCCCCTCAGCACGTACACCGTCAACCCCCAAGGGAAGGGGCCACATTCACAAGAACCCTCTGTACCAAAGCCAGCAGGAAGCCGAGGCCCAGGCAGGACAGAGAACCAGCTTCGCTTCTGACTCCTGCATCCCCTGCGTCTAGACGAGAGGAGCCACCAGACGCCCGCAGTGGGGATGACGTACAAGACCGCCAGCCTGAGATCCACCCAGCGTCCAGGTCCTGGATGTGAGGCAGAGATGGAGGACCTAGTTCAAGGGACTAAAGAGTAAGGAGAATGTGATGCAGGAGACTCCAGATGGGGCCCCAGGGCCACAGAGGGCATCACCAAACAGACCAGAGGGTTGGATGGCACTGAGGTGCCCATGCTAATTTCTCAAACTCGATGGCTGTGCCGTAGGTGAGAGACTTATAGAAAATGTTCCCTAAGTTACTCCAAGGAGTCACCTGCCGGGGCCCGTCAGCCAGGTCCACAAGGGACAGGCAGGGGCGGGGTGGGACAGCCAGCGCTGTGCACCCCTGCGCAGGGACGAGGCAAGCTCTCCACAGCCATGAGCAGACGGCACTCTCAGCCCGTCAGTCCGCTCCGACCGGCTGTGCCACCGTGGTGACGAGAGCTCACGGGGTGAGCGGCACGGGGAGCCCTCGCCTGACGCCACACCCCGTCCCCGGAGGTGGGAACCATCCAGAACCGCGGTCACCTGCCACCGGCCTCACATCCCGCGCCTGGGTCCACACCCAAGGAGGGCGTGTCCACGCGGGGGTCTGCAGCGGCCCCACTCACCATGACCGACAGGTGGGGAAGCGCCCCAAACAGGTGCTACAGGCGCCCCGCTCTGTGGAAGGTCGCGTTACCCCACTTCACGCTTGTGAAAGACCTACCTCACTACCTGTTTTTGCAGATCAATCTGAAGATTTCCACTTCTAGGTGGAAAAGGCGAAAAGCGAAAACCGCGTCCAGCGGCGGGTGTGCAGTGAGCCGCCATGCAGGCGGCGGACTGCACCCGAGCAGCGAGCGCGGCCCCCCACCTCCTGCCCCGCGAACCACCCGCAGCATCTCAGCCTCCGGCCCCGGGGCTCTCGGCTGCGTCCCTGAGCATCTGGGCTTGATCTCGACTGATTTTGTGTGTCCATTAGCTAAACATGTCCTGGGGATCAGAAGAGCCTGGGAGAAGTGATTTTTGGGGTCTGGGAATGCTCAGAAGTTTTCCACGTAAACTAACGGCACTTGCTTCTTCGCCTTATGTCGTCTCGGCTTACGGAGGGTTTCACAGGAGCGTGGTGCTTTTGGATGGCAGGGGGAGACTGAGAATCCACACAACAGAGTATCACTCAGCCACACGGGCAATGAAATCCTGATGCGTGCGACAAACACAGATAAACACTGGAAACACGCTACGTGAGAAAAGCTGCACACGAAGACCCACGTGGTGGGATTCCATCTACATGAGAGTCCAGAATCGGGACATCTGTGCGGACACAAAGTGGGTGTCAGCTGGGGTCGGGGGCCAGGAGGGGACAGCTCAAGGACGGCGGTCTCTCAGGACGAAATGGTCAAACACGGATTCTGGCGATGGCTACACAGCTCTGTACTGAGAACTATGGACCTGTTCGCGTGACACGAGGGACTTGTGAGGCGCATGAATGACAGCTCAATAAAACGGTTTTAGAAAAAGAACGCACAGGGAAATAAACAGGACACCTGCTCCTGGACACAGGCTCTCCTGGGGGCAAGGGCTGGTGGTCACCCTCCATTTCCTCTTGAGGCTTCCCTGCTCTGCCCAAGGACAGCGCGTGCTGATGGGGGACAGAGGGGATGCCGCCAGTCAGACACAGGGGGGCCACAAGCCATCCCAGCCTGCCAGCGTGCCCAGTCACGGTGTCCACACAGCATGGTCGGGGAGGGAAGGACCACAGTGTGGCCTGAGAATGGCCTAGAACCCAACACTCAGGAAGCCACGAACACTCTGGTTTGAGGACGGCAGTCAGGTAGAACTTATGTTTTTTCAGAAATTTCTAGTGTGCTTGTTTCCTTAATTTTTTGACCGAAGAAATTTCAACCAAAACAATAAAGCATCTGTCCCCGTCACACACAGAAAAGGCAGGAACAGCAATGGGACCCCGGCCCGGGGCGCCACCGGAGAAGACTTGGGGGCTCAGCGTGTCCACCAGGCCACCGAGCTTTACTGAGCTCGGCCCACCAGCTGTGCTGGGCAGGCCGGTTCTGCCCAATCACTTTGGAGAACAGAAACTATGACCTCCAGGAGAGGAGTAAGCCTCCACCCGAGCCCCAGCCAGTCCCAGGGGCCCCCGCCTCTGTCCACCCAGCTGATGGAAAGGGGGTCACCAAGCGCCACTCCCCCAGCATGCTGCAAGGCGTTAGGAACTGGGGTTCAGCCAAAGCCCGGATGGGCCTTTAGCTGGGCTCACCCACACACCTCAGCCCAGCAGCGACAGGGCTGGCTGACCCAGACGGTGCCCACCTCCCACCCATGCAGCCCTGACCACGCCACAGCACTGCCTGGAAAGCTCCGGAACCCACACGGCACTCACTCACACCTGCACTCTCCAGGGTCTGGCAAACTGCCTCGGACCCTCCGGGTGAGCAGGGCTGAAACGGAATCAGAGGCGCTGAGGGGAAACGTGAGGGGCACGTGGGGCTGCCCGCAGGAGTCTCTGCCTCTAAGTCACATGAGCCGACCTCCCTGCCTCGGACACATCAACCCCGAGCCACAGGGCCAACACAAAGCACAGGTTCAGCGTCCGCTCCACACACAAGTTTATGAAGAGGACGTCCAGACAACCGCAGCTAACTCAGCATCTTCTCCCGAATTTTGTGAGAGGTGTATGAACAGCTGTTCCCATGCAACAGGTACAAAGTATAAACGCTACTTGGGAACCAGACCGTCAATTCACACCACCGGGATCTTCCTGCATCAACGCCGCAGAAGTAGGACCTTGCTCGTAAGAGCTGCAGAGCATTTTATTCATGGACACCCCCCATGTGGGGCCAGTCCCCGGCCCCAGGCAGTTTTAGGTCTCAGGGGACTTCCTGGCCTGACCAAGGTCAGCACGGCGTCCACGCTCTGAAGCACGGACACCGAGCAAGGGGCCCGACCCTCTGCCAACACAGTACGTCAGGGAGCCGCAGGTGTCCGTGTCCAGAGTCTCGGGAGCAGGGCCCTGCGGTCCTGCGCCCCAACGCCACTCAGCGCAAAACGGAGGAGCCACAGGGAAAGCGCCCCCCTGCGTGTGCTGGGCCTGCTGCGGTCACTTCCGGCTCTGCAGCGGCCGCTGCTTGGTCTGTAGCTCCTGGCAACCAGCCACCTTCACTCTGGCCCCCGCCCGAAGCCGCCGCCTCTTCTTTCGAGCCCCTCTCCCACCTGGGCCCCCGAGCTGCTCCTGCGGCCCCGTGGGCTCAGTCCCCGAGCCCCGCCGCCGCCGCCGCCTCATCCTCCTCTCGGATCCGGAGCTCGGGTCTGGCCGTGAGTCCTCCTTCCCGCCTTTCCCTAAAACAGCAAGGCCACGTGAACGAGGCACCGTGAAGGCCTGGTTAGCCCACTTCCACTCTGACTGAAGGTGCTAGCTCCAGGGCCACACACAAAGGACACACAAGAGGACCCGAAGGCCTCAGCAGCAGACCCGCCCCAGCCAACCAGAGCGTCCTGCCAGTGTGGATGTGAAGTTCCACGGCCGTCAGGCAGATGGGACATGGTGGTGGCTCCCAGCCAGGCAGGCCGACCGGAGCAGGCCTTCAGGAAAGCCAGCAAGCCGGCAGAGTCGGGAGGAAGAAGGCTGCAGAGGTGTGACTCAGAGGGTGGGCAGGCTCGACCCCAGAATGGAGCGGACTCAACCTGGTGCACAACAGAGCCACGAGCCAGGCCAGTGACCGCAGCGAGGGCCCAGGCGTAAGCCAACGTGGACGGAGGTGGCCCGGGCAGGAGCAGAACCAGGGCAAACCAGGAGACCCTTCAAAGGGCAGACCCCCGAACCTGAGACCGTTAAGCACACACGGGCAACCACGGAAGGGCTCTCAGCTGGGGGGGGCCACCAGCTATCCCTCTTCTGCAGCCCTTTCCTGCCCTGGCTGTTGCGGTGCACAGGGCCCATCTCCACGGCAGCAGGCAGCCCCGTGCCCCAGCGGGACGTGGGGCGTTAACAAACACAGAGCAGCCCCCAGCGGGGGTCTAACCATGGCCCTGTGGATGAGCTGGGGAGGAGGGGGTACAAGGGACACAGACCGCAGGCACCAAAGCCCCATGGCCGGCAGACACCGCCAGTCCTACCTGGCTGCTTCTGTGACCTGGATTTGGGCCGCTTCTTTGTCCTCCTCTCCTGCCCCTCTTCCTGCAGGTTCCTGTAGGCTTTTTCGGGCACGTCATCCTCTGGGAAGAGGCCTAAGGACCAAGGCAGGCCATCAGGAGGCTAAGGGCAGGTTGAGGTGTTTTCAGTGTGCACGTTCAGGGCCGCACACTTCGTGCCAGACAGCCCCGTGCTCAGGCCCGCACGGCTACCACCGACTCCAGGCTGTGAGTGCAGTGAGATGCCAGCCAGAGCCAGGCCCTGGAGTGCTCACGCTACATCGTTGTCGATCCCCTGAAAAGCTTATTGGCTGAGAGGGGGCCAACGGCGATGCTCTCCGTGTCGATGGGGGTCTGTGCATGGAAACCCCATCACGTGTACGCGGTATTCAAGCACGTCACCGTATGAAAACGTTACCTACCAGTACCGAACTTGAGCTCACAAGGAGCACAACATACTTGCGGGTACAGTGTGATGGAGGGAGGGAGAACAATACGAGGACAGTAAAATACCGATGGCAGAGCCAAGGTGGCGGCCATGCGAGTATTCACCATCAACCCCCTCTCTGCCACCGCTCTACGTCTAAAACCTCACAGTGAAACTGGGGAGAGGCCCATTTTCACTCCTATGCCTTATCACCGGCTGAACCGGGCGTACACGGGGAAGTGCCTGCTGCACCGCAGACCAGCCACAGGGCAGGCCACGGAACTCACTAGACACGCAGGTTCTCGGGCCCCTGCCCTGGCAGCAGGCACTCAGCAAAACAAGCTTCCCAGGGATTCCAGCACACACCCGGATCCGAGAGCCACCGAGCGGGGCGAGGACGAGCTGCAGAACCCCTCCAGCCCCCTCTCCCGGAGAGAAAGCCCCGCCTGTGCAGTGATTAATCCCACTGGAAGGGCGACCACGTGAGCCAGTGCGCCCAGGAGGATGACAGTGTTCCAGGCCAGGGTCTCAGCATGAGATGCTCACCTTCAGCAAGGTCCTGCAACCTGAAAGGAGAGACAGGAGCTCACCATGGTCGCAACTTCCACACGAGGGGGGACGCGGCCCTCCCATCAGCTGCCCAGGGGCCGCCCTCGATGCCCCTCCACCTGCGCTCTGAGGGTGGACAAAGGCCCCCAGAGACAGTGGAACAGAGCGAGGGCAACTCCAAGGGGAGGGGGAGGGGTCACCAGCCACCTTCAGGGCAACTTACTTCCGAATCACTTTGTAGAGGCGCTTCCGGTTCTGGGAAGGGGTGCCCTGCTGACTGGCCACCACGAACAGTCTGCTGGCCACGGCCTCGTAATCAAACTGTGGAACAAAGAGAGATGCAGTCACCTCCCAGGTGCTCCAGGAATGTGCAGTGAGCAGAGAGAGCACGTGGACCAGGCGCAGATCCTCCGGTCGGGTCACAAGGACACGCCCGGACATCCTCCCAACTCCCCTCCGCAAACGCTGCGTATAACACGGGGCAGCGAGCACACTCCCCGGGGCCGCCGCCACCGGGTGAGGGGACCTCCCGGGCTGGCCTCTGCGACTACACCCTCGGGCAGCCACGTCCGAACAGGGAGAAAGAACACAAACCACGTTAATTTACACAGACGCCATTTAAGCCAATATGCCTAATTCTTACTAATTTAACACATAACCAATGTTCACGGCTCTTTAGTAAGCATTCTGTTTCTGCTGGGCTCTGACCCTGAGCGGGACCCGGGGCGACCTCTCGGCACTGTCATCTTCTCTGCCCAGCGCCCCACGACGCGAGCAGGGAGCGCACCCGAGGCGGCTGACGGGCAGGGAAGCCCAAGCCCTGTTGGCCGACCCCCAGTCCCAGTTTCAAGACCTCCCTGTTTCTGTACATGAGGGCCCGGAGCGCCTGCCTTCACGGAGTGCAGAGGCAGGGCCAGGCCCGCGAGCCCAGGCCACCCACCTGGAGGACAGGGCCCACGCTGTCCTCACCATCTCCTGGCAGCTTCTCACTCCTGTCGCGTGCAGCCCCATGGGGGGAGCCTGGAACAAAAGGGCCCCCGTGAACTCAAAGGTGCGTGCCCAGTGTGCAGAGCACCCCAACACAAACACCTGGGAACCAAGAGCCCTGTGTGCCAGGGCCCATGACCTGGGCAGAGGTGCAGGTGTAGGGTGGGGCAGGGGTATGGGCAGCCTCACACGGAGGGGAGAGGTGCCACTGAAAGAGACATCCCAGAGGAGGGGGCTGAGCAGTCGTCCTGACAACGGAATTAAGAGGAATTTCGTGTGGATATTTTACAAAACCAATGTAGTGTCAGAAATTCCAGAATCAAGGAAGGGGAGCTAGGTCCAGCCACAGGGCAAACCTGGATCAAGGGACCAGAGAGACCGTGTTTCCAATCATTAGGCTTTGATGTCACTGCATACAGAACAGTTCTGGACAACAGGCAGGCGAGTAGGACAGAGAATGAGGATGGCAGGGCCACAGGCAGGCACAGTGGGCCTGCCAGCGCCCCGGTGTCAGAGTGACGCAGGCTACCGAAGGACAGGACGGGCAAGACGCACAGGATGGCTGGATGAAATGCTGGGAGCACGGATGGAGGGGGCGTGAACGGAACACCTAGGAGCACTCCAGCAGGGGGTCAGAGTTGGCAGCAGAAAAATGAACCCTTGAATCTATATGGTCAAATGACCTTTCCTGGGGGAAAGACCATTTCTTCAATAAACGGTGCTGGGAGAACTTGACAGCCACAGGCAAGAGGACGAAACTGGGTCCTTCACCCATGTACAAATTTAACTTAAAGGGGATAAAAGACCCACATGTAAGAACTCAAATAACCAACTCTTAAAAAAAAAAAAAAAAAAAAAAACACTGAGCAGGGAGGGGCGCCTGGGTGGCTCAGTAGGTTGAGCGTCTGCCTTCGGCTCAGGTCATGATCCCGGGGTCCTGCGACTGAGCCCCATGTCCGGCTCCCTGCTCAGCAGGGAGCCTGCATCTCCCTCTCTCTGTTCCTTCCCTCACTTGTGCTCTCTCCCACTCTCTCTCTCTCAAATAAATAAATAAAATCTTAAAAAAGAAAGAAAACAAAGCAAAACCCTCACGAAACTGGCCGCACCAATGACTTCTCAGACAGGGCACTGAAGACACACGTGACAGAACAGACCAACTGAACTTCATGAAAACTCAAACATCTGTGCATCAAAACCCACTATCCAAAAGGCGGCCCACAGAACAGGGGGAGATACTTGCAAATCACAGACCTGACAGGGCTTGAGCATCCAGAATGCAGAGAGACCTCCTAACGCTCAGTAGCACACGACTCGCCTGAAAGCAAAAGACCTGAGCAGACATGTCTCCAGAAAGATGCACAGAAGGCCAACGAGTGCGTGAAGGTGCTCCACGTCCCCAAGACATCGGGGACGTGCAGACCCAAACCACAGTGAGATACTCCCTCACACCCGTGGGGGTGGCTCCTGGCAACAAAACAGGACACTGGAACCCTGCACAACGCTGGTGGATATACAAAGTGATGCAGCTGCTGTGGGAACTGGGAGGGACCTCAAAAATTTAGAAAAAGAATTGTGTGACCCCACAATCCTACTTCTGGGTATTTGCCCCAAAGAACTGAAAGCAGGGTCTCCAAGAGATCCTTGTTCACCCAAGGTCACTACAGCATGAGTCACAAGAACCAAGACATGGAAGCACCCAAGGGTCCCTTGATGGGTGAGTGGGTAAGCATAACGTGGCCATACCTATGGCAGAATATTACTCAGCCTCAAAAGGAGGAAAGAAACTGACACATGCTAAGACAGGGATGAACCCTGAGGACACCATGCTCAGTGAAGCCAGCCAGCCACAGAAGGACAAACACTGTGTGACCCACTCACAGGAGGGACCCAGAGCAGTCAGATCCACAGGGACAGAGTAGAAGGTGGGTGCCAGGGGTCCGGGGAAGGGGTGTGGGGAGGGGAAACGACAGCGTTTAACAGGGACAGTTTCAGTATGGAAAGATGGAAAGTTCTGGAGATGAAGAGTGGTGGTGGCTGCACAAGCTTGTGAAGGCACTTGACACTTAAACATGGTCAGCATCTCTCCTGCCCACCGATGTGGCCGAGGAAGCATCGTTCAAGTCCCCCTGCCGACCGCCGTCCTGCCTAAGTCAGAGCCTCCCAGAGCCTGGACCGCTTTGGAAGCTCTTCATCGGAGGTCTGAGCTTTCAAAGGACCAGTGAGAGTCTGAGGAGCCAGTCTGAGCCATGGGGGACGCTCTCGGACTGTGGGGTCACGAGATCCAAACACCCAGCGCCCCAGAGGCTCTGGGTTTGTCACCTGCGCCGCTACGGAGGTGGAGGCAGCCAAGAACGTGAGGCCCACAAGGGGGACGGAAGAGTTGCGGAAGCAAAGACGACTTCTCAAGAGGGGGTCCTCAGAGGCTTGCTGCCCACTCAACCGTGAAAAACATCTCTGTTGGCGGCACTAAGGACGACACTGAAGAACACCATCGAAGATCATTCCGAACACTATGGGAAAACTGACCGACGGACATCATGACTGAGGGAGGCAGTGACAAGAAGAGAGGCTCAGCTCTTGTAACATCTGAGGGCCGTGACTGTGCGGACAAGACCGCCACTCAGAAATACCAGACTGCGAACGACCACAGCCGTGAAGCGAGGAAAGCCCTGCCTAAGCAAAAGAAGGTGAGTGCTTCCTCCAGCCAGAGGTCCAAGTGGTTCTGGAAAGTTCGGTGGTGGCCGTGGGGCGTACTTCCGTGGGTGAGGTGGCTCTGGTAGCAGCGAGGTGGGGGTGGTGGCCGTGGGGCTGCTCTAACAGGCTTGGGAACGACAGGGTAACAACTCTGCAGCCGGCGGAAGCTGGCATGACTTCGGCAGTTGCAGTAATCTTCCAAATTCTGCACCCATGACAGGAGGGAATTTTGGAGGCAGGAGCTCTGGCCCCTGAGGTGATGGAGGCCAATACTTTGCCAAACCACGAAACAAGGTGGCCGTGGCAGTTCCGGCAGTGGCGGCAGCAGCAGGAGCTACGGGAGCGACAGGAGGTTCTCATCGCTGCCAGGACACAGAGCTGAGGAGGAGAGGAGAGCCGGGGGGAGCCACGGCGGGGGGGCCACAGGGGGAGCCACTGGGGGGAACCACGGGGGGAGCCACGAGGGAGCCACAGGGGGAGCCAGAGAAGAGCCACAGAAGTGCCAAGGAAGCTACGACTTACAAGAGACATGGGATCTCAGCCACGCACCGTGGCGGCAGGGCCGAGCTGCTGCAAACACCTGTGTGTGGGGGCAGAAAGCTCGAGGACTGGATTTGTGACTAACAGTATAACAGAGTATTTTAGTTTCTGTTCTGTAGAAAGCGTAAAGCACTCCAACAAAAGGTTTTAATGTAGATCTTTTTTTCCACCCATGCTGTTGATTGCTAAAAACAATGGTCTGATCACGACACTGGATAAATGTGTCTTAGAAAAAAAAGTTAACATAGTAAACTTCACATAATGTGTATTTTACCACCAAAAAGAAAAAAAAAAAGAGTGGGAGGCAGGGAAGAGTCCTGAAAGTGGTGGAAGACGCACCCCTGCAGCCACGGGACACAACCCAGTCCACGGCGCACATGAGATCAACCCATGTCCCACAAGGACCCACATCAGCATCAAGACTGTCAACAAACCAGACCGAAGCCCAGGCCCTGACCCCAAAGGCCTTCAGCGGGACACCACCCGTGGCATGTTTCCCCGTGGTAGGCTCCGTTCATCGGCTTGCTCACTCCCCCATCTAGAGGGCACCTCCTGTGCTGGGGCTGCTCCCAGCACCGGGACGCAGCTGCGATCAAAAGAACGCCCGGTCCTGGGGGAGCCGGCATCCGGTGGGGAGATAGGACCACGAACGATAGACAAGCAATTCATGTAACTTTAAGTGATTCACGCCAGAAAGTAAGATATCTTGTGGAGCAACCCAGCGAGGGAGACAGGGTAGGGGCGGGGAGGTACAGGTGGGCCCGGCGATGGAGGGTGGGGACCAGAGAGGAAGGGTGAGCAGGGCAGAGGCACCGGGCAGGAACGGTGGGTGAGAAAGGAGCCAGGGAGTCAGGACGGCGCCCTGAGAACAGGAGGCCGGGGGGCGAGGCCCAGGACGGGGAGGACACACCCTGGCTGCCGGGCCGGGGGCAGGCCGAGGACAGGGGGACCAGACGAGAAGCGAACGCAGGGACCCCGCAAGCACCAAAGCTCGCCAGGCCAGAAGGGGCGCCCTCACACGGCTGCGCTGACCCTCCCCTTACCTGGCTCCTTGGACAGCACATCCTGCTCGTGCTCATCGTCCTCCGACATGCCATCCTCCTCCTCCTGTGCATCCAACTCATTCATGAGGTCTTCGATGGCAAACGGGGCCTGTTCCACGATCGCCTCAAAGATGCCCCGAGTGATGTTATGCAAAACCAGGGAGCTGCGGGACAGCAGGTGCCGGAGCAGGCCCGTTAGGCCGGGTATGCCCATCCCGACCCCCCAGCCCCAGCAGCGGCCACTCCGCTGACCCTGTCACACACACACAACTCCTTCTCTCTTCCCAACAGGGGAACCCCGTGAGAAAGAAGAACCAGGCCGGAGGAAGCCCCCTGCCACTCACTCCTGGGTCTGAGCAGCAATCGTGCAGAAGGGATCGATGAACTTGAGGTTCTGGTCTGCCGTCAGCTACAAAGAAAGGAGGGGGGAGCTGCCTCAGTCCCTTGCGTGTGAGCACGGTAGGGGGGGGCTCAGCCACCGCCCGCAGCCCACTGGGCTCACCTCAGCGGCGCCCACTTTGCTCAGCTCCTCTAGGAAGATCTCCAGGAAGTGGCTCTTCACCCCGCTGGGGGCCTGGCTGTCAGGGTGCAGGATCTCCGTCGTCAGCAGCTCCAGCAGCTGCTCGACGTGCCTAAGGAAGGAAAGAGGCCAATACGGCGGGCAGCCACAGCAGGCTACAAGCCCGCGACGTCCCCTACCTGACAGGAACACCATCACACGCCAGCGCCCGCCCAACGGGAGGCGGCCGGTGATCTGGGTCTGCTCCATCACAGACGACTCGTAATTACAGGTTGGTGACCATCGTCAGCACCAGCACACGTGGCGAGGCCGCGTCTCAGCTACAAACGTGTACATACACGTTCGCACACGCCTTCCCTTCTGTGCAGGGACCACAAGTGGAAGGAGAAAGGCCTGGCATGACAAAGGCTACACCACCACGTCCCGCGTCTCTCTGTCCTCATGGGGACCTGCCCGGGAGCGCACACCACGGCAGAGTGAAGGCAGAGAAAGGAGACGGAAGAGCTGCTCCCCCAGTCCCACTGCACGGAGTCGTGGCCCCAAGCTGGCCACGTCTGCCGCCCCTGAGCACGCTGCTGTCAGTGGCCTCAGAGGCCTGGGGCTCCGGGGTCAGAGAGTTCTGGCGGCAAGTCTTTGCTGGTCTACATGCATGGGGCGCTGACTACCACACCTGAACTGGAGAACACGCACTCCGTAATGAGCCCCCGGGGGGGGGGGGGGGCCGCGGGACAGCGCTGGGGATTCACCGGCCACAGAAGGGAAAGGATGCTGTCTGCGGCTCAGGGAAGGAGAGCCCTCCACCCAGGCCAGTGACAGTAACGAACACTGACCAACCAACCAGGTCTGGCCGGCTGAGCGGGAACGGGGACGGGCTAAAGGAACAGATGGCACGGCCCAATCAGAGGCTACCAGCTTCTTCAAAAGGGTCTCTCTGCATCTCTTAGCGGCGTGAGGAAAGAACTCCTCTCACAAGAGTTATCAGAAATAAAATGTCCCTTCAGCCTTCAGTTCCACTTGTGCACTAGCCACCTACGAAGACCCAAACCCTACGTCCTGACAGTAAGAGCCCTGGCCTCAGCGCCTCGCGGGAATTAGAGGGTGAAAATCAGGCTCCGCAGCGGCACCCTCGCCCTAAACATGATGTCACTCATCATAATTCTAAACTCAGAAAAGCCCAGGGAACTACAGGCCACTCCTGCTGGTCTGTTTTATAGGGGGAAAAAGTGGCCCTGGGTGAGGATGTAACCTCGCTCTCCAGGAGACCCCCCCATGGCAGGAACGCACGCTCCATGGCAGCAGCTGGGCTGGGAGCTGGCGGGCATGGTCATGAGCAGACTGCAAATACGCTGGTCTAGCGCACCGTTTCATCACAAAGCCACTCAAAATACATTGTTTCCAAGTCTCTTTCCTCTTGCCCCACCCCCAAAACCACGCAGCAGGGCGCTGACATGAGGGGCGCCTTGGACACGTCATCAGTAAAATAAAAAGCAGTCCGCAGACATTGTGCGTGCTCAGACGCCACCGTGCACCCCGCACACAGAACACAGAGGCGTCTGCAAAATCTTTGTGTTGGGAGCTCGCGTTGCATTTCCTTCGTTTAACAAAACTTTTCCTAGTTCCTTATACTGGGAACGTGTCACTCTCATGATTAGAAAAAACTATAAAGAGATGAAACTTTAATTTTAAAAACTTTAAAATGTGAACTCAGAACCCATTTGGTGCTGTGGATCTCAGTCTGCCTCCTGGACGTACAGAGGCGTCCATTCATGCCATCACCGGGAGCCGCAGCTCAGCCGGCCCTGCCCCAGTGTGCTCCCCGGGGTGCCCGCAGGGTAGGAGAGATCGGGCTCACCAGAGCCCCACTGGCCCAGGTCCAGGGGAAGCCCAATGCTGGCCACAAAACACAGGCCTCTTAATTTGGGGGACACGGACTACCCCCATCACAAGCACCTCTGTCAAAAGTGACAAGTCTGGATAAATTAAAAATTTCTAGAACCAAAGCAAATACCATTGATAACAGAATTGAATATGCCATGTAATACCAAAAAAGAAAAAAAAAAGCACCTTAGCTGTGCATCAATTATATTGAAAACCAGTATTATGATAATGAGAGAACTCAATTTGGATTCATAGTAAGGGCTTACATTCAAGGTCAAAAACATTCATTTCTGTGAACACATGCACAAACCAAAATTTTAAAATGCCTTCATCTTAAGCACCATCGGGTCACCCTTTAATGGGAAGACTGACATCTCTTTATGACGAGTAACTGGGAGAGAAGCATATGGCCCCGGCCCCAGTGACAAGACGGGCTCGCCTGTGAGCAGGAGCCGCTCTCGGGATGTGCCGCGAGTACCAACCTTTCTTGCCACCCCTGCGTCTTCAGGGCCTTCAAGGACTCATTCAGGACCATCCGCATGAGCTGTGGCATGAACGGAGACCCCTGTTAGTGGGGCACAGCCTGCATTTCCCCAGAACCCCCTCTGCCCCGGTCATCCCTGTGGCCCAGAGCGCATAGCAGGCCCTCCAGAGCTGTTGGACAGGACACCAGAGAATGTGTCGCTGCCCCCAGGCTGGGATGCTCCCGCTTTCCAAGAGCACCAGGAATCTGGCTCACAGCAGACACCCTGGGGAGCAACTGCTGGGCCATGAACGAAAGCCAAAGGAACAGTCCCTATTTCAGGAGTGGGAACAGAGAACAAAGTGCCTGTCCCCCCCGGGGAGGCTGAGCCCCTTGGGAAAGGCTCCCCTGAGCTTTCCGAAGGACTTCTCTCCCCAACAGACAGTGAAAGTGTTTGCTTTCTCTCTCATCCCCAGGGCGGGTAACTCCCCCATTAAAAAAGCTCATCCTTTATGACAAATCCCGACTCCTGCCCCACGAGGCCCCGTTTCCCCTTGACAACAGCTCACGGCTTTTCCAGCCGGTTTTCCTACCGCCCAGATGTGAAGTGGCACACCCACAGAGGGCTCCAGGAGTGTAGAGTGACAGAGGATGCACGTGGGGATGGGTCTCCTGGCCGTCAGGTGTGCCCCAGGACACACGGGGCACCACTCACTGTGCCTACAGCTGCCAGACGCTTCGTCTCTCCAGGGGGCTGCGCTACTGGGTGCAGTCACACGGGCCCCCACAAAGCAACAGAAGCCATCCTATCAAGCGCACAGCAACTACATCTTAGGGAAACTCCTGCCTGGGAAACCCGTGCTTTGTGAAAGTGCACAGCCTGGCCCCAGCCCCCGGCCTCACATGCTTTAGCTTCCATCTTCCTCCCTTCCTGAGCTCCATGCCTTGCCCACTAGCTGGTCCTCACCTTGACATCTGAGGTACACAGGGCCCACATAACCCCGGGGCCAAGTCTGAGCTGGGAGCTGATCCCAGTGGCAGATCCTGAGTAACTGCAGCCCCAAAGGCAGCCGGGCGTCCTCAGTGAGGCCCAGCTGGGTCACCTGCTCTCAGCAACACCATCCTAAGCCCGCGAACACCGCTGCGGGAACAGGAGTGTGGTTCAAATGTGGGGTGGGGACACGGAGTCTGTAAATCTCCCAACTTTCCTGCGTCTCTGAGGGCAAATCAATAACCTAAATTCTGAGGAACGCAGCATCAGAAAGAAAAAGGGGAGGGGCGCCTGGGTGGCTCAGTCGTTAGGCGTCTGCCTTCGGCTCAGGTCATGATCCCAGGGTCCTGGGATCGAGTCCCACATCGGGCTCCCTGCTCAGCCGGAAGCCTGCTTCTCCCTCTCCCACTCCCCCTGCTTGTGTTCCCTCTCTCGCTGTGTCTCTCTCTGTCAAATAAATAAATAAAATCTTTAAAAAAAAAAAAAAGAAAGAAAAAGGGGATTCTGCATACCATTCTATAAACGTCCTCACCCAGAAGAAAGCAGCTTCCCAACTGGGCACCCTACAAGTGGACAAGGGTCTACGACTAGGGCATGAACTCCATGCAGGTTTGCTGGCACTCACGGCTCATGGCAACTCCAGCAGGGTGCAAGGCCGCGGCCCTGATCCTCCCCAGACAGGCCATTTTCATCGCCTCCTCTGAACCGGAATCTGTGCACTGTTTAAGTACGGAGTTCTCTGGCCGCTCACCAACCCTCAGAGACAGGGCACATGCCGGGCAGCCCTAGGCCCTCGAGACGTATGGGTCACAGTACTCAAGGGCGCAGCCCTGCCAGGGCAGGAGACGCTCGGGGCCGTGCCCGCAGCTCCCCCCGCCCCGCCCCGCGCCCCCCATGCCTGCCGCCGCTGCCGCCAGCAGCCTCACCATGTAGAACTTATCCAGGCGCAGTCTGTCGATGCCTGTCCACTCGCGGTTCATGGTTTGCCAGAATGTCTGAAGGAACAGATGCTCTGCAGGAAGAAAAAAGGCCAAAGAGGATCACAGGGGAACACAGAAGCCACTCTGGGAAGTGAGGTGAGACAATACGGGGAAACCTGCTCAGGACATCATGTGCGGCCAACCTCCAGGGTCCTCAGTCCAGTCTGCTGCACTCAGAAGGGGTGTTCGGAACTGGGCTTAGAAATGGGGCTGGAGAAACCTCAGAAAGAAAAGCAAAGCCCAGCTACAACCTCAATCTGCAGCCACGTTCTCTGAAGAATAGGTGCAAAGAGCTGGCAAAGCCACTAAAAGAGAAGGGCTGCTTGGGCCAGCTCTTCCCCTACTGGGGCCGGAGACCCGGACACCCTGCCTGACCCCCACAGGCTGGCTCTTCCCCTACTCAGGCCGGAGACCCTGCCTGACCCCCACGGGCCGGCTCTTCCCCTACTGGGGCCGGAGACCCGGACACCCTGCCTGACCCCCACAGGCTGGCTCTTCCCCTACTCAGGCCGGAGACCCTGCCTGACCCCCACGGGCCGGCTCTTCCCCTACTGGGGCCGGAGACCCTGCCTGACCCCCATGGGCCGGCTCTTCCCCTACTTAGGCCAGAGACCCTGCCTGACCCCCCCAGGGTGGCTCTTCCCCTACTCGGGCCGGCGACCCTGCCTGACCCCCATGCCTGGCCCCACTACATCCACTAACCCACCAGGCACAAACCCTCCTGATAATGTAGGTCAGACACACAGTGCTATATGCTAACCTGTGTCCCCCAAATTCATGATGAAGCCCTAACCCCAGGACCTCAAATAAGACTGTATTTGAAAATGAAGTCTTTAAAGAGGTAATTAAGGTAAAATGAGGTCACTGGTGTGGGCCCTGCACCAATGTGACTGGTACCCTTACAAGAGATGAGAACACAGACACAGAGGGACAAGCGTGTGAAGACACAGGAGAAGGCGGCGTCTGCACGCCCAGGAGAGAGGCCTTGGGGAACCAGCCCTGCCCACGCCTGGGCCTCGGGAAACAAACGGGGCCTCCCTGATCTCCAGCTACAAGTTTCTCCAAAGGGTCGGTCAGACGGTTCAGTGACGGGCAAACTAACCCATTCAACCGTCAGCAGGGGACTGTTTTGTACCTGGCCTTCTGCTGAGCACAGAAACTCTCCTGCAGGTTCCCAGATGCTAACGACACACTCCCAAATTGAGACAGTGGTTACCGTCCCTAACTGTGACTACTCTACCGACCTCCCGGTAACTGAACTAAACCCACCCACCGGGGATAACCGGGGCCTCACCAGCAGCAGCCACAGCTGTCTCTGCCAGGGGCGCGGGCTCCCCACCCCGAGCGTCAGAGGGAGGTGCCCGGGCTCCACCCCCACAGCTTGATTCAACTGGACCGGAGTCTAAACTTCAAGATGTCTAAAGATGCCCCAGCGATCACAGAGGGCAGGCAGCAGGGTTGAGAACCACAGATCTTGGGCAGGACAAAAACGGATGGGTCGGGGAAGCGCCCTGAGGGAACGCCACCATCAGCTGACTCGGTCCAGCAACTTGGCCACACTGCACTAGATTTCCATTTTCATTTTAAAACGCAAGTTACTGGCCCTTCAGCCTCGAGCTAGGTCCCCATTGGACAAACAAGTTAATACTGCTGAACACTTAGAACAACATTTCACATGTAAGCCAGGACAGGGACCACCCTCTTGCTCTACATCTTAAGAACACAAGCCTTCCACATCTGGTAGCCAACTCCCGGCAGTTCTGCCCTTCCCAAAGGGCTTCCCCAAGGCGAGGGTACTCACGTGCCTCTGTGGTCTGGAAAGCATGGATGAGCTGGGAAATGGTCCTCCCTAGTTCCTCCTGGGGTAGTAAACAGAAAAAATTCCCTCAGATCCTGAAGAAACACGGCCTTACAACAAGAAGCCACAACAGAAAGACAACCACACGAAATCTCCACTCGCTCACCACGAGAACCAGCTCCCACCGGCCTTTCTACCCAGCGTGCTTCAGGTCTGCAAGCTGCACAGTTGCAAGAGGCCTCCCCCTGCAGCCAGAACCAATAGAAGCTCATCACAAGCAAGGGCAGCCACTGCTCCCACGACCGGGGCTGAGCCTCAAGCAACAGAGATTGACAGTCAAAGGGGGGCACGGGAGAGATGGGGCCACGTGACCAGCAGGAAGAGACGGACCAGACCCCAGAAACTACTCGCTGCCTGCCAGTGTCACTGTGCTAAGCATCCCCTAGGGCACTTGCTAAACAGACAATCCCAGAGCCTCCCCTCAGTAGGCATCAAATACAGCACAGGAGTCTGCATTTTAAATAAGTACCCTCACCACCAGGTAATTCTGAAAAAAAGTAAACAATTCACTCTGACAAACACTGTTTTAAAAAGGCCGGCATGAGGGGCGCCTGGATGGCTCAGGAAGCTGGGCGTCTGACTCTTGGTTTCGGCTCAGGTCACCATCTCAGGGTCGTGAGATCAAGCCCTGCATCGGGCTCCTCACTGTGTGGAGTCTGCTTGGGATTCTCTGTCCCTTCCCCTCTGTCCCCCCCACGCATGCTCTCTAAATAAATAAATAGAATCTTAAAAAAAAAAGCTAGCATCTTAGGGCAGTGCAACTGCACTGTAAGATCCTGTCCTAGTGGGGCATGTCACCACACACTTGTCCAAACCCACAGAATGCACACACTAACGGTGAACCCTCACACTCACTATGGGCTCTGCGGACGGTCTGTGTGAGGCAGGTTGATCACCTGTAACGAACGCACAGCTCTGGTTGGGAGGGGCTGTTCACGTGTGCAGGAAGGGGCTGTATGAGAGTTCTCTGTACCTCAATTTCGCTGTGAACCTAAAACTGCTCTAAAAATAGTCTAATTCTTAGAAAAATAATTAAAAAAAAAAAACCTAGCAGGAGAAACCCTTTTCTCAGCAGACTTGGATTCTGTCCCTCAGTTTCCCTATTTCGGCGCGGTCTGCCGCCTCGGACACACACCCGAGCTGGCAACCACCTGTCACAGCAGTGCTCCCCTCAGCAGCACCACACACACTCTAACCAAAGGCCTCGGCCCTCTGACTGTAAACAAAGTGTTGAAGCTAGGGGCGCCTGGGTGGCTCAGTCGTTAAGCATCTGCCTTCGGCTCAGGTCATGATCCCAGGGTCCTGGGATCGAGCCCCGCATCGGGCTCCCTGCTCCGCGGGAAGCCTGCTTCTCCCTCTCCCACTCCCCCTGCTTGTGTTCCCGCTCTCGCTGTCTCCCTCTGTCAAATAAATAAGATTTTTTTTTAAAGATTTTATTTATTTATTTGAGAGAGAGAGAGTGAGAGAGAGAGAGAGCACAAGAGAGGGGAGCGGGAGAGGGAGAAGCAGACTCCCCGCTGAGCAGGGAGCCCGATGCGGGACTCGATCCCGGGACTCTAGGATCATGACCTGAGCCGAAGGCAGTTGCTTAACCAACTGAGCCACCCAGGCGCCCCAAATAAATAAGATCTTAAATAAATAAATAAAGTGTTGAAGCTATAAAACTTCATAACTCATTCAGTGTCTTCCGCTACGTTAAAATGAGGGTCAACCACCTGCCCATCTGTCCTCCCAGTGATGCTTCTGCTACTTCCTCATACACTCACCTGGAGGAGCGGCTTGTCCTGCATCCACATGCAATAAAACAGTCCCTTCCAGACCTTCAGCAGCTCGTCATGAGTGAAGCCACCTGCACCAAAAACAGTGACACTCAGACAAAGCAAACCCAACTTTTTACTGCCAGGAACAAAGCCAGAGAAATGTTGAGTGGCTGAATTAGATCAAAGCGCTCTAAGTAGAAACATACCTGGCCCTCCCCTCTCCTGGAGGCCCTCCCTCCCCTCCCTTTCATCCTCTCAACTCAGAACCCGCTGGACCTGTGGCTGTTAGTATTCCCCCACCTAACGGCCCTTTCGTTATTCAATAAACACTAAGAATCTGCAAGTATCCATATCCAAGGCACCGTATTCCACTTGTGGACACTGAACGTTGCATGGATTTGCCGGCGATAACTCATTCAGCTTTACATGTCGCGGTTTGTGCACTTTTCTGTATTAGGCTTCAAATTTTAAGAGGAAAAATTAACTCATTCAAACTAGTAAGACACGCAGACATATAAAACCCCTGAAATATTTATGGCGGTCCTAACTGTGTCTGGCGCGCTGCTCCTGAAGCAGGGGTTCTCCGACTTCAGCACCAGGATGGAAACCGCCTGGAGAGCTGCTTACACCAGGCTGCTGGCCCAACCGCCAGCGTTTGACTCCTTGGGGCTGGAATGGGACTCATAATCTGCCTTTCTAACAGGCGTCGGGGTGATGCCGATGCTGCCCACGGGGCCACGCTTTCGGAACCAGCCCTAGAGGGGCCAGCTCGCAGGAAGCATGTCCTCCGCCCTGGCGGACGATCCGCCGCAGTCTCACTCGGACCACAACCCGATAACTATACGGAGAGAACTGCCAACAGCAACAAACGCCGCTCCGAGCGCCCAAACAGCGGGCAGCAGGGGCAGCAGGGGCTACGGTCAGAAGGGGACGCCGGCTCCCCGCGGGGTGGGGCGCAGCGCCAAGGGCTCGCCGGCAGGGGTGGGGCTGTGGGAGGCACCGTCGCAGACGCCGCCGCGCGGGCCTGACCGCGTGCAGGACCACGTGGTTCGGAGACTCCCCCCCCCCCGACACACACGCCACAGACCGCGCCTCCGCCGACCCCCGGCGCACCCCGCCCGGCCCGGCCCGGCCCAAAGGCGCCCCGACCCCGCCAGCCCCGCGCCAACCTGCGGCCCGCTGGGTCCTGGCCACGATGTACTTCCGGAGCTTCTTCACCGCCCGGTCCCGGGTCACCTGCTCGTTTCCGGCCAGCCGCTGGGCCAGCTGGATCTCCGGCGGGAGCGGCACGCGCGGAACCATGGCGAACGGCCCGGACCCCCGGGCTTCCGCGACCACGTCTTCTCCACTCGGCGCGCGCGCGACGTCACACGGCCGCGCCGGGCTCCCTCGGGCTGCGCGTGACGTCACAGGGCCGCGCCGGGCTCCCTCGGGCTGCGCGTGACGTCACAGGGCCGCGACCGCCGCTCCCGGCCGCGGGCGCCGCCGCTTAGCGGCCGGGCCCCGTAGTGGGCGAGTCGCCTGGTTCTGCCGAGGGTCCGCTTAAAGAGAGGCCGCGAAGCGTGCGCCTGCTAGGGGACTGTAGTTCACCCCGGCCGGTGAGGGGTTGGAGAAAGACCCCGTGCGGCCCCCGTGGACCACTGACTCCGGCGAAAGTCACCGAGGGAGAGCGGCGGCGCGGGCGGGTTTCAGCCGCGCCCCGAGGGGCCCGCCACGTGCCCCGGGGTCTGTCACAGCCGCTGACTCGGGGACGGGACGGAAGCCCTTGTGGGACTCGGGCGGCCTGGCCAGGAGGAGCCGAACCAAGTCGGATGAGCCCCTCCCGAGAGAAGCGGATAATTGGAAAGGAGAAAGGGAGGAGTTTAGTTTGGGTGGCGGCAGCCCCAACCACGGACCTCTCCACCGCCGGCAAGACGGACACCGAGAGCTGTCTAGAGAGAGGGTCGGGGTGCAGGCCAGAGAGCAGGCGGAGAGTGCGTGACCAAGCGTGGGGTTCGGTGTGTGCTCAGCCCTGATCGTGGGCGGGGAGGGGATGTGTGGCAAGGGGGCTTCTAGGCATCCTGCTGCCGTCTGGGCTGGACGTCGTCAATGTCTCAAGAAAGTGCGATAAGGAGCAACAGTTGGCGTCTATTGGAGCAAGAGCGCTGGCTGACACCAGGGTCACTTGTGGGGCAGATGAGCCTCAAGCTCGCCCAGCCTCGGTCTGCACCCCTGCTTTCAGGATGTGGAGGAAGGCTGCCCACAGTGCATGAGAAAACCACGAACTCAGGTCTGGGACAGTTTGCAAGACAGCTGTTCTGACGTCTTCACAAAGTTAATGTCCTAAGCAAGGACTGAATGGATGAATAGATGTAAGAGGAGGGAATGCAACATAAAATCTTGACTGGACTCTGGTTTAAAGAAAAAGCTAAGAAGTCATTTTGGAAATAATTGAGAAAGTTTTCATACAGACTCTGTGCAGATTATGGTACAGGATAATTGTTTCTTTTCTAGGGTGTGATGGTGTTTATGTAGAATGAGGTTCAGCAGAATTTTTCTATAAAGGGCTATGTGTCCAGGAAACCCATGACTACCCCCAGGTTCCCTGATCTGCTAGGAGGACTCATGACTATGATTTATTAAGGCAAAAGGATACAAAGCAAAATCAGCACAGGGAAAAGCCTTGCTGAGTGAGTCAAGGAGGAAGCTTCCAGAAGCTTCTCCTGGTGGGGCCACACAGAATTTGCTTAATTCACAGCAAAGGGCTGTGACACACTTGTGAGATGTTATCTAGCAGGCAGCTGGTCAGAGATCAGTGCCAGGCTTCTACCAGGGGCTAATCACATGGGAACCCTCTGCCTGGCTCGTACCAAAATTCCAGACTCCCAGAGGGAGAGCTGGTGTTCATCACAAGCCTGTGACAACGAAAGGAAACCTCACCCAAGTGGAGCTGGGAAGCTAGAAGGGGGATCCTCACCACTCAACCGCAATTACAGGAAGAATTTTCAATCACAGATGCAGCAGAAGAATCCTCCGCGGGAAAGAATCACCAACAGGGAAAGATGCATCCTGCATCTCCTACAAGAGATCGGCCACCTCTGCAATGTAGCTGATGAGAAGCCATCATCACCCCGAACTCATGCTTTTCTCCAACGGACGTCTGTTCAAAACAACCTCTTCCAACTTCCTCCTTCTTCCCCATAAAATAAAGTTTCTCTCCTTCGTCGGACTAGCCTGTGGTTTTTCAGTAGCTTGCTTGTTTCCAATTACAATTCTCTGCTATTCCTGAATAAACCCATTTTAGCTGGTAAAAACAACTTTTTATTTTTAGGGTCAACAAGCCACATTATTTGTGCAAATGGTTTTGGCCCAGTGAGGCGCTCTTATCACATAGTGGTGGGAACCCTCTTGACATCCACATTCTCAGACACCAGCCAACCTTATGAGCATGAGGTTGTAAGGAGAGCAGTCAGGACTTAGGTCAACTCTTTTCTACACAGGTAAGACAGTAAGTATTTCCAGAATTACGGGCCAAACGACTGCTGTGGGGCAAGAGCAGCCTCAGACAAAACGTGAAGGATGAGCATGGCTCTGTACCAATAAAACTTTATTTTCAAAACCAGGTGGTATGTGGGGTGTTTGGCTGGCTCAGTCAGAGCACTCGACTCTTGATCGTGGGGGCGTGAGTTTGAGCCCCATGTTGGGCATAGAGCTGACTTCACAACAAAACAAAACCAGGTGGCGTTATGGATCTGGCCCATGGACGGTAGTCTGCCAGTACCAGCTATTGCAAATGTTCTTACTTTTAGGAAATAACCGCAAAGTGGTGATAGTGAAGTGTCGGGATGTCCGGAAGTTAACTCAATAATCACTCGTAGATAAGCAAGTGGGGCAAAATGTTAGCAAAGGTTGACTCAAGTGGCAGGAGCACAAGCATTGCCCTGTTTTTCCAACTTTCTCTGTGTTTGGAGATTTTCATGACAAAAAGTTGGGAAACATTTTACAAACTGGTTTTATTTTTAAGATTTTATTTATTTGACAGAGCACAAGCAGGTGGGGGGCAGAGGGAGAGAGAAGCAGACTCCCCGCTGAGCAGGGAGCCCGATGCGGGGCTGGAACCCAGGACCCCGGGATCATGACCTGAGCTGAGGGGAGACCCTTAACTGACTGAGCCACCCAGGCGCCCCTAGAAACTCGTTTTAGAATCAGAATGAACTCTTCCACCAACTGTTTAGGTGCCATCTATAAATAGTGATGTGAACAAGACAAGGTCGGGCAATGAAGAGACACACTCGTGCGCTATACAAAGGGCAGCGTGATGGCTGGGAACAGTCCTAAAGCAGGAAAAAGAAGATGGGAGACAACCAAGCCTAAGAAAAGAGCAATTTTAATAAACACATAGTGAATTTGTGACACAAAATTTCACCAAAATAACGAAATGCACCAACATCTACTTTAAAAATATGCTTTATGGTATAAACAGCTATTAGATGCTGGCAGCTAATGAAAGATTTGCATCATATCCAGTGTACCTAAAAAATAAATGTGCAGGGCATCTGGGTGGCTCGGTTGGTTGGGCGTCTGACTCTGCTCAGGTCATGATCTCAGGGTTGTGAGATTGAGCCTCCGTGTCAGGCTCCGCACTCAGTGGGGAGTCTGCTTGAGATTCTCTCACTCTGCTCCTTCCCCCATGCTTGCTCGCACTCGCAGGCACACTCTCTCTCTCTCAAAATAAATCTTTTAAAAAATATATAAATGAATAGGGCGCCTGGGTGGCTCCGTCATTAGGCATCTGCCTTCAGCTCAGGTCAGGATCCCAGGGTCCTGGGATCGAGCCCCGCATCAGACTCCCTGCTCAGCGGGGAGCCTGCTTCTCCCTCTCCCACTCCTGCTGCTTGTGTTCCCTCTCTTGCTGTGTCTCTCTCTCTATCAAATAAATAAAATCTTTAAAAAATGAATGAATGAATGAATGTGCTCTATTCTGAATGCGAAATTACCCCTCTTTCCGAAACTTTTCAAAGTCTGCTGTGCATTGCAGGCAAGAACCAGCAAAGGATACTAAAATTAGTGGCAAAAGTATGATAGGAAATATATTTGCAGAGTCTCAAAGGTACTTACTAGTTACAATAGGAAAGTAGTAACTCTACAGTGGAGAAACCTGGCAGACACCACTTTATTCAAGATGGAAGTCAGTATTACCCGGGAGAAGACACATGGATACCAGGTACCCTCAATAAGATGCACTGAAAGGACACAGTGAGGGGAAAAAAAAAAAAAAAAAAAAAAAAAAAACTCTCTAAAGACCGGATAGACAAGGGGAGCCAGTTTAGATTTCTGTCTAAGTCAGCATGACTGTACATAAACTTTGTTTGAACCAAAAGCCTGACTTATGGCCCCGCTACCCACGCATCGTGCACCTGCTTTGTGAATGAGTCAGCTGAAGGAAAACCATCTTGTCCTTGAGATTCCTGCCAATGCCCCTGCTCCCCACATTCCTTTATGATAAAACTCAACCTGATCATGAGGAAATATCCCGCAAGCCCCAAAGAGAATCAGTCCTCAAAAAAGGTGATCTATACTCTTTAAAAGGATCACGATCCTGAACGACAAAGACGGAGAAACTGACAGCACGCAATGTGGCAGGAGCCTGGGCCAGAAAGATGGCTTTACTGGGACAACGGTGAATGAGTCAGTGCTGTGGGTCAGCTCATCTGTTGTAAAGCAAGGCTTATTTCCTGCTTCTGAAAACTGCTGTTCCTGCTCATGTACAATGCCAACATTTAGGGAACGTTTACAGAAACTATACTATCTTTGGAACCTAAAATTATTTCAGTATAAAAAGTTTTAAGTATTAGAAAAGAAAAAAAAAGGAAGTCTAACAGGACTTTGGGGAATGGGTGTCTTTTTCAGCTGGTACACACATTACCCTATCGTGTCTGCTGCACAAAGACGAAGCTGTGTGTGTCTATCCGCCCGCACCCAGAACGGTGTCAGGTGGTGACAGTGTGAAGGACAGCTGTGAACAGCTCACTGGGTACGAATTAGCCACAGAAGTATGCCTATTTCTTCCACAAATAGTAAGGACCATCATATTTCCGTACAGTATCACGTAGGCCCACTTCTCATCCTTGTCCTGCCCGTGTTTTGTTTTCTGGAAGGCAGAAAAATCCCTGTTTATGGATCCTGCGTGTTGCTCCCTCTGGAGACTCTAGGGGAGGATCCGTCCTGCCTCCCCCGGGCTCCCAGCGAGCCTTGGCTCAGGGCTGCTTTGCTGCAGTCTCCGCCTCCCTCATCGTCTGGCCTCCTCCCCCACACCGCTGTGTCTTCTGGTTTTCTTATAAGGGTACCGGTCATTGGATTTAGGGCCCACCCTGGTCCACTAGTCACCTCTCTTAACTAATGACAGTTGCCAAGACCCTATTTCCAAATTCACATCCCCTTCTCAGGTTCCGGGTGCACGTGACTTTCAGGGAGACACTATGGATCCCGCTACAGAAGGGGGAAGGAAGATAAAATCAGTCATAGCACCACCATCTCATGAGACTTTGCACCCACCGTTAGTAAACCCTAAAACCGTGCTGCAAGGGAAGTATGACTTTGCCATTCTGTAGGTGAGCAAAGAGGCTCAGCGGTGACACTTCTGCTCAGAGCCTGTAAGAGACAAGGCCAAGGATACGCCCAGGCTGACCCACGGTGCCCGGGAGGGTGTGAGAGCCCGCCGTCCTCCCCAGGACTCTGCTCAGGTGCCCCGCCCAGGGGCCTCACCCTCCTCACCCGAGCCCCGAGCCCACTGTCTGCAGACCTTCTCTCCAGACTCAAACTCATTCACTCACGGAGCACACGTAGGCTTCTTCCTCATGCTTACGCTCTCAGTTTTTCATTATAGAATATTAGGGAAATAAGAAGTTACAGGAAGGAACCAGACACAGTCTCATGGTCTGAATGAACAAGTTGGCACATAGCTGCTCATTCTCTTCTGTGCACACGATTTTTTATTAATTACACATTAATTTATTAATATAACTTATTATATTAATCACACGATATTGACAGTTTTGAAACTGCTTTTTAGTGACACACCTAGCAGTTTCCCGTGGTATTATTAACTTCTCAAGAATAGGCAGTATTCCTGGGGCACCTGCGGGGTTAAGCGTCTGCCTTCGGTTCAGGTCATGATCTCAGGGTCCTGGGATCGAGTCCCGCATCGGGTTCCCTGCTCAGTGCAGAGCCTGCTTCTCCCTCTCCCTCTGCCACTCCCTCTGCTTGTGCTCTTCTGTCTATCTCTCTGTCAAATAAATAAATAAAACCTTTAAAAAAAAAAAAAAGAATAGGCAGTATTCCAAAATAAGACAATTCTTTTTTCTAAGAACAAAAAGTTGTTTAAAAAAGCTTTGGAAAAATACAGAAAATCACAGGGAGCAAAGTTATTAAATGCCTACGTCCACCCTCAGAGATGGCTACTGCGAACGGCTCCGTGGCGCCTGGGCTCCACCGAGCCCCCGGGGACCCGAGTCTCCAGGGAAAGCCTGCAAACTGGCATTTCAACAAGCAGCTGGGGGAGCAGCGGGCAGGGAAATGGGGAAATGCCCTTCTAGAAGCACTTCCTCCCAACAGCACAGCCCCTTGTTATGGACAGGGGCTGGGCACGGAGGGGCTTCTAAATTCTGGGATGGAAATTTTTATACATTTTCTCTCCATCCAAGAATTTTCCTTGATTCCTGGCATTGA